ATATATATATATATATATATATTATATATATATTATATATATATATATTATATATGTATATAATATATATGTATATATTATATTATATATTATGTATATGATAGTTGCATAACATTAGATTATACAATAGAACAAGAGATTTCACAATTATCAGGAGAATGTAATATACAGTAGGTCTATGTAAATATATAATGTCAATAAATAAAGATAGATAAACGGTACAAAAGCGACACTACCACCAAACTGTCTCGCAGTAACTGTGTGTGTGTGTATATGAAAAGTTGGCACAATCAGGACTCGAACCCAGGATTTTTTGCTGTCGATGCCCAGTGACCCACTGGGGTCTTGTTTGGGAATAATTTGAATTTGATTGGAAAAAAAATATTTTCAGACTCTTTTTGATCATGGGTAATGGAATAGCTTTAGGCCTAATATCAGAGATGAGTAGGACGTATGATATACCCTGAACATAAACATTCTGAACGACAAAACGGGATCTCTGAATTGTTACTCTTTAATGAATCATGGTACAATAAGCAAATAAACTCTACAACGTAATGCTATAATTATTTATTATCAAATATCACTTAATGGTTTAGAAAACAATAAGGGAAAACATGCAACAATCCTGTTTCATGGTCCAAAAAAGGCACATGCAAGGAGGATCGATCAAATTTTAGACAAGAGGAATATGCCCCAACCCATTGGAACCTGTGACTTTCTGCTGTTTATATAGAAGAATAAACTGGACAGATGGGAATCAGTTTATAAATTGGGTGGCAATAATGTACACTGATACAGAGATCTTTACTGTAACTAAAGGATGGATGTTTGAGGGTTTCCTAATGAATTGCGGGATCCGCCAAGGATGACACCTCTCAGTTTCATTATTTATTTTAGTTGTTGAAACTAATGGCTAATGATATGAGACAATCCACTATGTAAAAGTATTGGATTTCCAGTTTTGAAATGAAGTTTCAGGTGTGACTCTGAATAAAAACAAAAGCAAAGACATGTAAATCGGTTGTAAGAAACCAAAAAGAGTGATTTGCGCGAAATTACATTTGTGTAGAACCTGTAATGTTTCAAGGAATATATATCAGTTATGATAATAAAATAATTTGTAATACATGAAAACGGAATGAAAATGTCTCTAGATTTGGGAAAAAAGAATTTGTATGAAATATTTGACGAATTTGCCAATGAATTACTTCAAATATCAACATTTTGTAGAGGCCTACAGACAATTAATGTTAGGTATTGACTTGGTCTTAGAAAATGTCCTTGGTTATTGTACACTTTTTTGAGTTGGAAAGATTAATTAGTGAATTTTTAATTTAAAAAAAAAGCAAAAGAAAAAATAAGTGGAAACAAATTTGTACTTGAGAGGTTTGACAAATTTGCCAATGAATTACTTTCAATCTCAACATTCTGTAGAGGCCTACATACAATTAATGTTAGGTATAGACTTGGTCTTGGAAAATGTCCTTGGTTACTGTACGTTTCTGAGTTGGTAAGGTTAATTAGTGAATTTTTAATTAAAAATGAAAAAAGTACTTGCAATTTTTATTGATAGATTTAAAATATTGTACTTATTTCTATCTTGTAATGGGTTTTAATGTATAGCGCTTTGATTTTTTTGTGAAGGCGCTATATAAATGCTTTTTAATAATAATAATCATAATAATAATAATACATGACTAATTACAAAAGGTGTAAATAACGAATGTAACAAAGTGTAGTTTATTATTTCAGTACTGTATATGATTGTAGAATTATGAAATCGCAAGATGATTCTTATATTAATTTAGTGAATGAAAACAGATTCAATTAGAAGTTATTGTACTATTTTTTAAAATCTTGAATGTGCTTATATATGTATATAGGCATATATATGTATATAGGCCTATATATATATATATATATTATATATATAATAATAATAATAAAAATGGTAATAAAATGTCTAATCTAATCTACTCATGAACCTCGCCTGTTTGTTATTATTCGCTCTGGTTTACCATTGAGGACTCTGCCGACATTATTTGCAATACATTCCACCGTTATATTTTTACTATATGATATATATTACTTTTACTGTATAATTAA